GTGGCTGGGATCTCCAGTGTGTGTGTGTGTGTGTGTGTGTGTGTGTGTGTGTGTGTGTGTGTGTGTGCAGAAGCCTCAGGTCAGGCTGAGCTCCTGGCGAGACAGACAGCGGTAAAGAGCCACACATTTGCACTCACTGCAAATCCAACAAAAGCCCCGCAAACAAAAAAACAATAAGAGTAATTTATCTACGTAATCAGTGCAAAAGATGTACAGACGAAGAAAATCAACACTAAACAAAACATAGTTCATTCAGGTAACTCAGGCAAAGTAGCAGCACAGCAACAAGCACTGCATGGCACTTTTAAACGGAGAGGGCAACTCCCTGTAGACAGGAACAAAGATACAAATAAAATAAAAAAAGAAAACGCAATGCAGACCTGTTTACCTGTGTTATTAAGGAAAATACAAGTATTGGATCAGGAATTGGTATCAGCAGATACTGAATATTACAAGGGATTGGGGGCAAAAAAAACTTGATCGGGACATATTTACCATGGTACTGAATTGATAAAAAATGGTAAATGTGATCAAAGCATAATAAATGAACTGAAAAAGGTTTGAATGGTTGTTTGGTGATCAAACAGTGTTGTGGATCGATACAGTAAATATCATCCAGCACTTTTCTACACAACTGCTGAGGTCTTTACCTGGCTCCGGTCTTTATCCACCTTCTTGAAGCACTTGTTGAGTGACAGATTATGGCGCACTGAGTTCTTCCAGCCTGTGGGGGCGCTTGCAAAGTAAGGGAAGTGCTCCAGGATCCAGCCATAGATATCCTTCACCGGCAGCCGCTTATTTGGCGCATCCTCGATGGCCATAAAGATCAGGCAACTGAAGGAGTACGGCGGTTTTCGGTTTGCCCCTGCTGCCAAGTCGTACGCTGAGTGTGCATCGCCAAGCAGGGGGTCGTCCGGGGAGGGAGACGAGGAGGAGGGCGAGCGGGGGTGCTGACCGTCAGGGTCCTGCAGGGGGGAGACGCTACGCAGCCCCGAGTGGCTGAAGCTGTTGAGGAGGTCGGTGCTCTCGTGGAGCCAGGAGAGGCTGGTGAGCTCCTCGTCCTCAGCCTTGGAAAAGGAGGCAGACAGGGACAGGGAGAGGTCAGCCGCTTCGGCCTCAGATGCTGCTGTGGCGGCGTCCCCCTGCCGGTACGGCGGGCTCATACCCTGCGAGGCACTGGCTCCACTACTGGGGCTCTGGGCCTTCTTACTGGGGGGCATGGTGGGTCCCATCCAGCCCAGGGCTCACTCCTGCAGAGGGAGACAGAGGAGAGAGGAGAAAGGGGAGGTGAGAAGACGCAAAGGAGGAAGGAAGAGCAGGGAAAGAGAAAAGGCAAAAAAAAAGAAGAAGAAACGAGGTCAGCTTGTGAAATTCATTTGGCTTCTCACATAAAGCCTTCATTTTTGTTAAAGGCCAAAGGGTGGAGACACGCAACAAGATTCTGACCACACTCCCAATTAGGCTGTGTTAGATCTGAGGGGAAAAGTATACATCATCATACATTTCTCTGGGGCTCTCTATCCAATTCTGACTGGGATGGCAAATTTTGTGCTTCACTGGTTGAGGAAATCTTGCCTTGTACAACTACCCTCTAATTACAAGTGTACCAGCAAAGTATTGACATTACACAGGGTTGCTGTCATAACATACTGAACACTGTTAAAGGTCTAACAGTTAGAGGGTCACAATGATGATCCTGGTGCTTTCTACGGCAGGAGAAAATGTTATTGTCAAGGAGCTATGGGTGAGAGTAGGATAAACTTAAACTACTGGATTTACAACATTACAAATAGTTGGTCAGACTTAATTCCACTGCAGGGAATGATCTGGAGATGATCATGATTGGGAGTTTTGCCAAGAAAAAAAAAAACCCAAACAAATTAGAGCGGGTTTAAATCCACCCCTATTCTAATCAGACCATAATTCTCCTAACATAAGAGCAATGCTGTGCTCGTTAGACGCAGGCAGGAGTGTGGTAATTGAAGGGGACTGGGGCTGAGTATCACACCACAATCAGAAGGCTCGCAACCAGGCCTTTGATTGTCCTCTAGCACAGACAGCTGTGGGAAGGACCCAGGCAGCAGCTCCAGCTAAATGTAATCTGCTCCACTCACCCTGTGAACATGTTTCAGGGTCTGGACACAAACACACACCATCACCAGGATGCACATGTGTCCACACGCGCGCAGACACGTGTAAGCGAAAAACGCATCCCCAAGTTGCAAAACTAAAAGCACGCACGCACATGCAAGCATGGATGAATACACACACACTTGTGAAAGCAAACACACACACACAACAGAGAGCATCGCCATTAGGACATGGGGATTAAGTCCAGATATGTTCTGGCTGGCCCCTGTGTGGTGCGATCGCTCTCTAATCCAAGGTGATCATCGGCCGATCTGTCCCCTCACTCTGCGTGATTGACTGACAGCTGTCACCCATGGCAACCCGCTGTGCCGTGACAACTGTCAGTTCGCTACTGCTACGGCCGGTGTGTCACCATGGCAACAGAGCAAAACAACTCAGCTCCTCTCTCGTTCTGATGCTTTTTTTTTTCTTCTTCTCTGTGTGTCTGCCGCTCTTCCACCTATCCCCCCACCGTCTCCCTTATTTTTTCCCACTTTTCTACCAGTGCCGATAACTCTGCTTAACAGCGTTGATAGGCTGTAGTGGAAGGACTGAGCTAAATATAGAATTGTGATGTACAGCTGCTATGCCGTTGCGCCGCGTATAGTCGGCCAGCCCATAGTCACCTCGCTGCTCCATCCTTACTCTCTCCGCGGCGCAGGGAAACGCTCTGCGGAGCTACATGTCTTTGATCTCCTCTCCACTTCTTCTCTCCTCTCTTTTCACTTCTCACACTTTGTGACAGCACACACGCTCATTCAACAAGCTGTACCTGTCTGAGGTACAGCGTTGTTGCACCAATATTGACATTGAGCGTAATGAATTCAAATTGCCCCGGTGACGATAACGCCGTAGCTGAAAATAGTCAGCGCATAATCAAAGGGATGGGCGAGGTGGAAAGGGTGTTTGACAGGCTTTTTCAAGGTGTGTGTATGTGTGTGTGTGTGTCTCTTTGTGTTAGTGTATTTGTGCATGTGTTTGACAGGCTTGTCACGGCGCGTGTGTGTTTGTCTTAGGAAGGAACTAAGGGCATCATAGTGACATTGTTCCTGGTAGGAGTCCACTGGAATGCAGAGATGGCTCTGATGCTCTCTTTCTCTCCATCTCCTCTTCCTCCTCCTTGTTATGTTGCCATAGCGGCAAGGGGGCCATGAAACATTACGGCTGACAGTAAAGTCATCTCATTTTACTGTTGCTATGACAACAAACTCCTCACTGTTGGTTGGGGCCAGTGCGAGCTGCCGCCCAAGCCTCGTGCCTGAGTGTGTGTATGAGTAGAGGCATGTGAGGCGTGTATGTGTGTGTGTGAGTGTGTGCCACCATGTCTCCCATGGGCTCTCATAATGCTTAACACACTTGCTCAGCTCTAAACAAACTTTCATGCAACTTCTACTGCGGCCCCTCAGGACCAACTGCTAAAGGACAAAGGCAGATATCGCTCAAGTTCAGACTAAATGATGCCTGCTGTGTGTGTGTGTGTGTGTGTGTGTGTGTGTGTGTGTGAAGCATCCTCACATTTGTTTGACAGATGGGACTGTGCTATTCTCTCTGTCTTCTTCATTCTCTGGATCTCTTTTGTGTTTGCATGCTTTGTTTTGATTTGTGTTCATCTCTGTTTGGCATGTCCACATTTGGCTTAGTGTGTGAATGTTTGTGTGTGTGTGTGTGTGCATCGGACTGTAAGTGCACTTCCCATCTAAGTGTCTGTGCATTACCGATGCGATTTAAAGCAGCTGTAATCTGTACGGT